TCTTTCTCAAAGTGTGATTCCAGTCGGTGTTAGAGACAGCACACCAGGAGAGAAAGACCTTAGGGCCACTCTTCTGGTATGTCAACTGAAAACGGAAGATGAATGCACGCATTGACATATCACTCCCCAAATCCTTTGCTCGTTACTACCCCCGAGACTTTGTCTATATGGTGAGAAAATATCTAGACAGATGAATGCAAGATAGATGATTTCAAGATGCAATTGAAGCAAACGCTTCAGGACTGATCATCATCCAAGGAGTATTACAGAGAATTTCCAAGTGCTCAAGCATTCTGAGCAAGCTGATCTGAAATACTTTATCATTTCTGCACTTTTTTCTGAAAAACTGGGGTACTATCACAAGGTGCATGATCCTAAACTGGAGAGACCACTGGTTCAATTTAGTATTCAAAATTTTGACTAGGAAGGCTGACCACAGGAATCTGGGCAAAAGCAAACATGTTGCATGCTTTTGAAAAGCAGAGAAATGTGAAGATCTGGGAATAGCACTGCAAGTCGCCTGTATGCTTAAGACTTTTAGACTATTGATGCTACCTAAAATAATGTAGTCATGTGGTATTGTCCCAGCAAGAGTTTGGGGAGGATCTTCTGGTCCAACTTTTTAATTGCCAAGTTTTCATTCAACTCTTTTCAGGGAAAGGTGTTTACGTAGATGGCCTTCAAACATACAGGAAAAACAAGGAACAAATTAAGCATGCATCATCCAAAAGTTATTTTGTACCAGGACTAACTTTTTTTTTTTTAAATCAATCCTATATTGAGAGTGGAAGTAGTTGGTTTTTTTTTTTTTTAATAATGTCATAACTCTGCAACATCCAGCCTTCTCTGCTAAAGCAACACAGGAAAGGCAAAAGGGTTTTATGGAACATGTTATAGGTATAATCACAGCCTAAAATCTTTAGCACTGAAAATACCTCTCTTCAGATTGCCTTTGCATTACTCATTGCAGTATCACTGCAAGACAGCTATAAAATGCCAGTTCATAAGATAAGAGAAACAGGGCTTTGCAAAATACCTTCAAGAAATGGCATTCACCTGCATCTTGCTAACAATATGGCATTTCATCTAAGAAAGCCTTTCAAACTTGTTTTACGATGGGGTGAAAATACTCCTTGAAACTCCTGGCTCCAGAGGGAGTTTTCAAAAAGGGTAGCATTTACCCTGCCTACAAGTTAGCTGCAAGTCTGTACTGAAAATTGAAAAATTTGAAGGCAAAATTAAAAGCAGATGTTTTACCTATGAAGTTTATGTCAGCACACTAAACTGTACTGTAGAGTGTTTACGACATTCTCTCCGATCTTTCAGGCATTTTCTCAGTGTACAAGAAAATACATGCACCAAAACGGAAAAAAGACATGAGCGAAGAATACCTATCCTCCCCATTGAGCAACACAGAAAAAACAACCAAAGCATATTACAGCTCACAATACATGTTTATTGTTAGAGGTGTTTACAGAAAAGTCTGTGAATTACTGCTAGCCTAAGACTGACAATTGGGGGGGGTTATGGTTTATGGCTTTGTTTTTTGAATCATTTAAAAAGTCGCAAAACTGATTAAGTTTGG